CCCAGGCTCCTTCGATCGAGCCCCACATTGGGCTCCCTGCTCAGCCGGAAGCCTGCTTCTTCCTCTCCCACTCCCCCTGCTTGTGTTCCCTCTCACGCTGTCTCTCTCTTTCTCTCTCTCTCCCTGTGTATTAAATAAATAAATAAAATCTTTAAAAAAAAAAAAAGAATGTAAGCATAATGAGGCCAGGAGTTTTTGCCTGATCCGTCCCTTGTTGAATCCTTTCTGCCAAGTACATGGTCTGACATATAGGCCATATTCAGTAAATGTTAGTTGAATGAATGATTTTTCTCTAAATGGTGTCCAGTTCCCTGATTCCACACCTAATTTATATTTCCCTCTATAAACTTGCAGATTTACTTCGATTTTTTTTCCCCAGACATGTATAAGGTGGCTACAGTAAGAAAATTTCAATCTTAATCAGTGGTAATTTAAAAATAACTATTATATAGTGTGATTGGCACACTGGAATATAATCTCATTTTTCTCAAAGTCTTTTTATTATGAAAAGAACATTTTTGTACTGTTGTTTGTAGTCATAGCCTCTAATCTTTTGTTTTAGTCAGTTCTCTATTGGTTTGAATTACAGAATCATCTTATCATACTGTCAAGCTCAGTCCCCGGTAAATCTTCATTTCTTACTTATTCTCACTTCTTATCTTTTTTTTTTTTTTTTAAGATTTTATTTATTTATTTGACACAGAGAAAGCACAAGTAGGCAGAGCGTCAGCAGAGAGAGGGAGAAACAGGCTCTCCACTGAGCAGGGAGCCAGACGTGGGGCTCGATCCCAGGACCTGGGCATCATGACCTGAGCCGAAGGCAGCCTCTTAACCGACTGAGCCACCCAGGCTCCCCTCTTACCATTTTAAACTTTAAGATTCCCACTCCTTTGGTGATAATAATAATTGTGAAAGAGGCTAATGTGCCATAAATAGTAAGAAGGGTCTGAGTACATCTTTAGTTGATGGATATTACGATTACCTCTAGAATGTAAATACCAAGTATGTGAAACAAAACTAACTTATGAGTAGTTCATATTTTGCCTAGTCATTCTAGATAAAAGGATAGCAAGCAGAATCAAGCTGAAGAAGATGCTAAATGCTGTTATTTTAATAAACTCTTAGTAACTATTAATGCTTTACAAGTAAGGTAGTAATGTCATTTTTGCACAGGTGATTTCAAGATTAATCATTTGTAAATGCTTTAACCTTCTTTGCTCTATATGTTTGTAAAATTTCGTTTAAGAAAGTGTTCTGGACCAAATGCCAATCTAAGAAGGGTTTAGGTACAAATCCAAGTAGGGATAAAATTTATTATAAAATAGGTTTACTATTACGGTCTGATAGTGTAGTCTTTTGGAATATCAGTTTATGAACTGAGCCATAATTCCTGAATTTAACTGTTCTTTTATGCTTTAAACATTGTCTGTGTTACTGCAGTGTCAAAATTCTTCTCACATCATTTTCAATTATTGTTGGCCTGAGTCTGCATTCAGATTAGTCATTTAAATTGAAAGACATTCCTTATCCTGTGAATAGCTCTTGTGCTACATAAGAAAATTAATTCAGTTTTTACATGTTATCTTTTTCTGTTGTAAAAGAATTGCTGGTATCATGGATTTAGATGACCTTTGGAGGTCATTTACTGCTATAATTTCAGGATTACATGCTTAAACTAGGTAAATTTTGAGAAACAAAGTGTGGAAATGACAGGCTGTACCTTTGTTTATGTTAATGCACATGGAGATACTATACTTGATATCCAAGAAAACTTCTAATCTTGGCATTTTCTCAGTGAAATATGGTACATTCAGTGTCATATGCATGATTCGATCCTGGTCATGCCACTATCATTCTACTCTGTAGGGATCATGCATTCCATTTTAGCATTTGTAGATCTTTTTACATTAGGTGTATCTTTGTACTAGGGACCTCTCTTGGTGCAAGGCACAGACATCCAATTTAAACAAGGTATAGCATAAGGGGAAATTTATGCTCTTATATAACAAATATAGAGGACAGAGATGTAGCAGGGACTCGGGAATTACTAGAACAAAGAGTATGAACACTGCAGAGCTTTCTCCTTTGCTCTGCATTTCCTATTATGTCTGCTTTATTCTCCTACAGGGTCGCTTATTTCACACTGTGAGGAATGTATCAGACTAATACCTTCCTGCAGCTGAGCATGGTTATAGTGACTATCCATTTTCCTGCTGATCTAACCTGAATATTTTGAGGAGAGCAAGGCTTGGCTTCCTTATGTGCCCACCGTGTTGGCTAGGAGGTGGGGTATTACAAGTGGCAGTCCCAAGAACATGTGGTTGGAAACAGTGAGGCACTCTAGGCAGAAAAAAGAATACCTATGTTCTGTTATCTCCTTTTATGGCTTTTGGAATAAAAGTGTTTCCCATAGTGAATCTGAAATGACATAAAATATTAACTTGTTTCAGATACTGTGAATCTTGATAGTTCTAATATAAGCTTTGGGATGGTACTTTTCAGTAACAGGTTAAATTCATATAAAATTTATTTTAGTTTTAGGCTGTCATACAGTGTGCTGCTCCATGCAGAAAAAGGTTTAAAGAATCATACAGCTACTACCTGCTCTGATATAAATAGGATAGGAAAATAAATAGGAAAAAATCAGGATTGATGGTTTTTGTCCATATAATAAAAACAGTTCTCGAAGTCTCATTTAAACTAAGGTCAGTTTAGGGTGTATTTTGAAAGCATTAAGACTGAAGTTAGCAAAGGACAGGTCTACTTTATTTACAAGGGGAAAGAATAATGTATAGAAACCTCAACTTACCAAATCAGTAAATTCAGGGGTTAATTATTTGGATTACTAAAGGGATTGGGCAGTTACATTTATTTATTTATTTATTTATTATTTTAAAATTTTTTTAAAGATTTTTAAAATTTATTTGAGAGAGAGAGTGCATCACAAGCAGGGGGAGGGGCAGAGGGAGAGAGAGGGACAAGCAGACTCACCACTGAGCAGGGAGCCCGGTGTGGGGCTCGATCCCAGAACCCTGGGACATTTAACTGACTGAGCCACCCAGGAGCCCCTGTTTTTTAATTTCTAATTTTAATTCCAGAATATTTAACATACAGTGTTATATTAGTTTCAGATTTACCATATAGTGATTCACCAATTCTGTACATTACTCAGTGCTCATCATGATGTGTACTCTTAATCCCCTTCACCTGTTTCACCCATCCCTCACCTACCTCCCCTCTCACAGTTTGTTCTCTATATTTGAGTCTGTTTTTTTTGTTTGTCTCTTTTATTCTTTGTATTTGTTTTGTTCCTTAAATTCCACATGAGTGAAATCATGGTATTTGTCTTTCTCTGACTGATTTCACTTAGATTTATACTGTCTAGTTCTATCCGTGTAGTTACAAATGGGAAGATTTCATTATTTTTATGACTAATATTCCTCTCTCTCTCTCTCTCTATATATATATATACACACACACACACACATATATATACTACATCTTCTTTATCCATTCATCTAACAGTGGACATTTGGGCTGCTTCCATAATTTGGCTATTAATAATGTTGCAATAAACATAGGGGTGCATCTATCTTTTTGAATTAGTGTTTTCATTTTCTTTGGGTAAATATCCAGTAGTGGAATTACTGGATCATAGGATAGTTCTATTTTTAATTTTTTGAGGCACCTCCATACTATTTTCCACAGTGGCTGCACCAGTTTGCATTCTCACCAACAGTGCACATGAGTTCCTTTTTCTCCACATCCTCACCAATACTTCTTGTTTCTTGTGTTTTTGACATTAGCCATTCTGACAGGTGTGAGGTGATATCTCATTGTAGTTTTGATTTGCATTTCCTTGATGATGAGTGATGTTGAACATCTTTTCGTGTGTCTGTTGGCCATCTATATGTCTTCTTTAGAAAAATGTCTATTCAAGTCCTCTGCCCATTTTTAAATTGGATTATTTGGGTTTTTTGGTGTTAAGTTGTATAAATTCTTTATGTATTTTGGATACTGACCCTTTATTGGGTATATCATTTGCAAATCTCTTCTCCCATTTAGTAGGTTGTCTTTTAGTTTTGTTGTTTCTTTTGCTGTGCAGAAGCTTTTTTTTTTTATGTAGTCCCAATTGTTTATTTTTGTTTTTGTTTCCCTTGCCTCAGGAGACATATCTAGAAAGGTGTTGTCATGGCCAGTGTCAGAGACACTACTGTCTGTGCTCTCTTCTAGGATTTTTATGGTTTCAGGTCTCACATTTAGGTCCTTAATCCATTTTGAGTTTACTTTTGTGTATGGTATAAGAAAGTGGTCCAGTTTCACTCATTTGCATGTAGTTGTTCAGTTTTCCCAACACCATTTGTTGAAGAGATTTTTTCCTATTGCATATTCTTGCCTCCTTTGTCGAAGATTAATTAACCACATAATCATGGGATTATTTCTGAGCTTTCTGTTCTGTTCTATTGATCTGTGTGTTTATTTCTGTGCCAGTACCATACTGTTTTGATTACTAGTGATTTGTAGTATATCTTGAAATCTGGGATGGTGATACCTCCAGTTTAGTTCTTTTTTCCAGATTGTTTTGGCTATTTGGGTCATCTGTGGTTCCATGCAAATTTTAGGAGTATTTGCTCTAGTTTTGTGAAAAATGCTGTTAGTGTTTTGATAGGGATTGCATTAAATCTATAGATTGCTTTGGGTAGTATGGACATTTTAACAGTATTGGTTTTTACAATCCATGAGCATGGAATATGTTTCCATTTGTTTGTGTCATTTGGCATCTGCTTTTAAAGAGAAGTTCCTAGGATTAGGGTTTAATACATTGCTAAACACTGATAGAGCAGACAAATGGCTAAGGGTTATAGCAGAAACTAAAGTATTAAGTGTCTCTTATAAGCCACTTGGAAAATGTTCACATAGCTCTTTCAACAAACTTTATTTAAGCCTAATATACCTACTGAAAATGCACAGATCACTAGTCACTACTTGGTGGATATTCACACTGTATATACCAGTGTAATATAACTAGCATAGAACACAGAACATTACCAACACTGCATAACATTTTAATAATAGATCATTTATGTGAAGCCAGGTATATTGTTCTTTTGAAATTGATCAGGAGAAAAAAATAAATGAGTTACTCTGGTTGCAGTTTTCTCATCTCTCCCAACTAGATGATGATATATTAGGGAGGGGGATATATTAAGCTAACAAGTAGTAAAGTACAGTTGTAATATCCAAAGCATTTAAAGATTTATTTATTTGAGTGAGAGAGAGTACGAGCTCGTGAGCTGGGAGAGGGGCACAGGGAGAGAATATTCAAGCAGACTCCTTGCTGAACCAGGAGACTCACACAGGGCTTGACCCCACGACCCATGAGATCATGACCTGAGCCAAAACCAAGAGTCGGACGTTTAACTGACTGAGCCACCCAGGTGCCCCATAGCCAAAGCAGTTAGAATAGCTAATGATTGGAAACAGTCTATGTGTCTAAAATAGGATGGATAAACAAACATGTAGTATATTCCTATAATGAAGTACTACTCAACAATAAAAAGGAACAAACTGCTGATACACACTACATTGGACATGAATCTCAAAAACTTTATGCTGAATGAAAAGAGTACATAGAAATTCCATTTATGTAAAGTTCTAGAACAGGGAAAACTTATCTGTGATGGGAAAAATCTGAGCAGTGGTTCCCTGTGAGAGAAGGGGCCAAGGATTAACTGGGAAGGGGGCACTTCTTGGGATGTTAGTTTTATTCTGTATCTTCACAGGCGTTTTCACAGGTTATGTATTTCTTTTTTACAGTATGTACTTCTCAAAAGTCATAGAATGGTAAACATAAGACTTGTGTATTTTCTTTTATGTAAATTTTACCTCAAAAGAAAAAACCTGAACAAATACTGGGTTCTAATTAATGCAATGCATGTGGAAGTATATAGGAGAAAGTGTACAGATGTCTGTAACTGATTTTAAAATGCATAAAAAATAAGATGAATATAGGTATGGCTACATAAGGGAAGGGATAGTTAAGTTATAAAGCAAATAAAATGTTAACAGTAAAATATAGATGGTTAGTATGTGAGTGTTCACTGCAAATTTCTTTTAATTTTTGTGTATGTTTAATGTTTTTCATTATAAAATGTTGGAGGAAAAACCCAGGCAATCAAGAAAGAATGTAATAATCATGAAAATAGGACTTGTATCATGGATAGCTTGTCACAGTGAGTATTGGAAGACAGCGGAAGATAACATACAAGTCTAAGGCAGACTCTGCGACCTGTGACACAAATGGCTTGCAGCATGTTATTTGTGGTCCACAAAATGTGTTTGTTTTATTTTTAATTAGCCTGTCTCTAAAAGTAGAGTGATTTCACATAAAAATTCTAGATTTCTGCCTGCTTATTTTTAGAAGGATTTGAAAGACAAAATCAATGGAACAGAGTAGAGAATCCAAAGGTAGATAGAGATTTGTGTGGAAATTTTGTATATGAAAAAGGTTGTATTTCAGATTAGAGGAGAAGAGACATATTACTCAGTAAAGCATATTGGACAGCCACCTATGCATTTGGGAAAAAATAAAGCTCAAATCCTTTCACACTCATTAAGTAAATATAAATTCCAGGTGGAGCAAAGGTTTAAATTTAAAAACCTATTACTAGGACCTCTAGTCCATCAGTAGAGTGGTTTTATCTAAGTGTTTTTTTTTTTTTTAAGATTATTTATTTACTTATTTATTTGACACAGAGAGAACAAGAGAGAGAACAAGAGAGAGACAGAGAGCAAGCACAAGAGGGGGACCGGCAGGCAGGGGAGAAGCAGGTAGGGGAGAAGCAGGCTCCCCGCTGAGCAAGGAGCCTGATGTGAGGCTCCATCCCAGGACCCTGGCATCATGACCTGAGCCGAAGGCAGCTGCTCAACTGACTGAGCCACCTAGGCGCCCCCTATCCAAGTGGTTTTAACTGGACACTTAAGAGTTCAACAGCCTATATCCCAAATCATAGGATTCTAGTAAGTCCCGCTATATGTTGGAAAGCAGAATAATATATGATTTTGGAGTCAGTAAGATCTAGGTTTAAATCTTTTTTCTACTCTTAATCAGACTTTTTGCAAGGTACAGAACCACTCTGAAACTTAGTTTCCTCAATGATGAGTCAATATAAGATTTTAAAAGTCTGCCACAGGACTTTGTTGTGAGGATCAGATGAAATTACATTCTATGAAACTCTTGCCTAATGCCTGCCTAGAAGTGAATGTTCAGTAAATTTTTAGTATAGAGGGATGAAGAAACAGACTTTGAACAGCTGTGGGGAACTGGCCCAGAACAGATGTTTACCTGTACAGGATGAGAAAATTCCTTGATATTTATTTCCATTATCAAACATTTATTAAGAGCTTACTGTATGCCATGCATCCTATTTGGCACTAGAACTATAAAAAAAATCTTTAAAAAAATCTTAAATTAGGAAAGTCAGGTTTTATAAGAAAGGAATTCAAGTAGTGAGAATTTTTAAATTTGATAATTCGCTTAAACTTAATATTATTATGACTCTGACATTTTCTGGCTTGCTAGAGTTTCTTGTGTTAGTTAAAGGAAACATAATGTGGAAGCAATTTCCCAAGAAAAATGAATAGTTTGGCTGCAACCATGAAAGATCCATTTCTCGGGATAACTATTAAGAGAGAATGCATTACAGAGATGAGATACTAAACAAAATTGCTAAGTGGTGGGTGAAGTGGTGCTTAATAAGTTTTTTTATGTACCTTCTTACTTTTCCATTTAAATTTTTGCTGGTTATTAGTATTTGCCTGAGCTTACCTTACCAAGTCATTTGTTTACACTAAATGAAGATACAGACTTCCTAGGTCAGTTTTGCTGATATTTATTAAAACAAGATAATATAAACTGTTTTCACAACAACTTTTCATTAATAGTACTCTAATGTAGAGTAATGAATTTGAGATGGAAAAAACACCTGTGAATAATCACAAATGGGCTAGGACAAAAAGTGTATGTATGTAATCTGTTGTTTGGTATTATTGCCATAACTGAAATTTTGGTTCAGATATTTACCAAATTGAGGAAAGTGTAAATTGTATGCCATATGAAATTGGGTTTTGTGTTACACCTAATAAACTCAGTAACTGTACCAATCCATTTGCCATGACAAAAAACATTTTAGCATGGAGTGATAATAACTGTTATAATAATAATGTGTTAATCATTTTCAGTAAAGAAATTGATGTAGAAATATTTTGCATCATCTCCTGAGCATTCTCTATAATGATATGTTCTTTGGTACATGTTGTAAATAAAAGGATTTTTTTTTTTTTTTTTTTTTTAGTTTGCTGGAAACCATGTCTCACTATACAGATGAACCCAGATTTACCATAGAGCAGATAGATCTCCTTCAGCGCCTTCGGCGTACTGGAATGACTAAACATGAAATTCTCCACGCCTTGGAAACTTTGGACCGTCTTGATCAAGAGCATAGTGACAAGTTTGGAAGAAGGTCCAGCTATGGAGGAAGTTCTTATGGAAATAGTACCAACAATGTTCCAGCATCTTCCTCTACAGCTACAGCTTCCACACAGACCCAGCATTCTGGAATGTCCCCATCTCCTAGCAACAGTTATGATACCTCCCCACAGCCTTGCACTACCAATCAAAATGGGAGGGAGAATAATGAGCGATTATCCACGTCCAATGGAAAGATGTCACCCACTCGCTACCATGCAAACAGCATGGGTCAGAGGTCTTACAGTTTTGAAGCCTCAGAAGAGGACCTAGATGTAGATGATAAAGTGGAGGAATTAATGAGGTTAGTTCTTTTGCTTACTCAGAGTCCCCAAAATGTCTATGTTCTTAGATTGGTTTTGAGTAATATACTGTATTTCAGCTACTTACCTATAGGAACTATGATTTCCCCCTCCTCCCCTTGGAGATGAAAGAAAATATTTTCAAATTTTATGATTTTAATTCAAATTTTGTCTTCTCTACCTTAGCCCTCTTTGCTGCTTGATAACAGCCTTTTCCATTCTGTTTATCAAAGCAGAAGTTAGCCTTCTCTTTATAGTACTAATTGCTAACATCTGAATTTTCTGAATTGTTAACACATTCTAATCCTTAGAGTTTTCTGATAAGATGATTTTATCATGATACAGAATTTGTACACTTAGTTTTTCACTCTAACATACCACAACAAAATAATTTTGAGCACCTATTATATAAAAAGCTGTGTTCTTAGGAAGAAAAATAGACATGGTTTCTACCCCTAAGAAGCTAAAAGTTCTAATTTAATAGATGCCACACACACACACACATACATTATCTATTACAAGGTAAGTGTAAGCCTTTGTTGTTTTAAACACTGAGAAAAGAAGTCCACTTTCAAAAGAGGTAATTAGGAAGGGCTTCACACTGGACCTGGAACACTTTGAGGCCAGTAATCATGTGATTTTGAATGTTGTTTCCAGGATCTAGAATTGTCCTTGGCACATGCTAAGGGTTTAATGTGTTAAGTGAATGGATGAATTTGAGCTAAATCTAAAAGGATAGCTTTTGTTTTGAAATATAGGAACTTTATTTAAAGTTAAGGGAATAGTAAAAGGTAGAGAAGGCAAGGCATGTTTAGTTTTATAAAGGTTGCATGGGCTAGACGATGGTAATAAGAATATTATATTAGGATGCAGTACAGGTTTGGGAATATCTGAGTTCCACACAAGTAGTTTATGTTTAATTTGATTGGCATTAAGGATTTTTTACAGGTCTGTAGGAATAGACATAAAAGCATTATTTTCAATAGATTATCACTACTGTAGTAGGAGGAAAGCCTGCAGGTAGATTAGTTACAGTAGATAAAGAAGCTGTAGCACAAATTGGTCAGAATAAAGTTAGAACCTATAATTATGAGTTATAGTTCTTCCTAAGGATTTTAAGACTAAAGATAGTATAATGGTGACTTAATACTGTATATGGAAGATCTATTCTATAGTACCACAGTGGTAAAATCTTTTAAATAAACTGTCCCAACTTTATTTTTAGGGTAGCACTGCCTTATATGGAATTGTGAACTAAATGGACTATTGCATCTAGATTCCAATGTAATTCCTGTAATGAATAGTTTCATAGAGCAGCCATAGAACCCTGTTACTTCCACTCCCCCTGCTTGTGTTTTCTCTCTTGCTGTGTGTCTGTCAAATAAATAAATAAACTTAAAAAAAAAAAAAAACTTAAAAATATAAGAGATCAGTTTGGTTTTGAATTCATTTTCACTTGTTAAAGCAGCTGGCCACAGTTCAGATGTTCCTTTTGAATTTAACATGTGTATCATTGTCATGATTGAGAGGGAGAACCATTGCAGCAAGTAGAAGTTACTTAAGTCATTGAAATATGACAAGGTTAGCTTTTAATTATCCTGAGTAGAGAGGAATCAACAATAAAATTTATACTGTTGCTGTCATTAATCAGTTTTAATAAGCTTTTAACATAACAATTAATTCCCAAATGTGTATTAGACTACCACAAAATTTGGGGAAACTTTCTTGTTAACAAAAGGCTCTGAAGATTGGCCAAGGTCTAAAATTTGACTACAAGGGTCTAAAAACGTAACTACTAGCTCTTACATTGGCATAATGTTGTAATACAACTATGTTCTCAAAATAAACAGAAAACCTATTTAGCAATGATTAGGATTTGTAGTTAAATCCCACAATTAACACACATTCAAGTTTTATCATTAAAAATATACATGTTTTTGCATTGTTACCAGCATTTAATTTACTGCCACTTGTTGCATAGTTAGGCTACTTTATCTTTACCCTATTCTCTGCTTCTTTCTATGAACTACTACTTCGGTTCTCTAGTCATCTAAGGGTCTCATTGAACCTTCTGGCTCTCTGTGGTTCTCTGCCATTGTGTCCTCACCCACACCTGCATTCCTCCTTTGTGCCCACCTCTTATTTTTCTCAAGTTTGCACATAATAACAATCCTTAGGTCAGAGGGAGAAGTTTATTGCATGACTGTTCTCACTTTTAATCATTATAACCATGCTGTGTATGAGGTACAGCAGAGAAATTGAGATTCATAAAATTTAAATAACTGACCCAAGAAATTTTAAATATTAAGTGGCAGAGCCTGAATTCTAACCTATGTCTTTATTACCATGTCTCTGGTATCTGTTGCCTCTGTAAATAAGTTTTTCATATCTGTAGATTTCAATAAGATTTTAAGAACAGTGGTTGATGTAACACAAGTGAAAGTTGTGAATGCCTTAATGGGCTGTTGTTCCTCCCTCCCTCTACCGTCACATGGTATTTGCCACTTCAAATCAGTTACTAACCAGATGAATCTTTATTTGGTAGAATGTTAGAGAAATTTTTGAGCAGTGAATTTTTCTGAGTATCCTGTGCCACATAGGACTGTACTGCCCTCTCTAATCACTCAACACTATGATATTGTAGTGGGTTAGATTTGGTGGGCTGTAAGTGGGGAGAATGGGTACCTGAATGCCTTCCTGCCTCCTTTTCTAGATAATCATATATAAGTCATATCTTGCATGCTCCATAGCACTCAATCATAAGTTAATATTTTTCAAATCACAACCCATTGAGTTAATACCTACTAATTTCAAGGTACACAAAGGAAATTTTTTATAGAAATTAACTTATAGGGGCGCCTGGTGGCTCAGTCGTTAAGTGTCTGCCTTCGGCTCAGGTCATGATCCCAGGGTCCTGGGATCAAGCCCCGCATCCGGCTCCTCGCTCTGCAGGAATCCTGCTTCTCCCTCTCCCACTCCCCCTGCTCCTGTTCCCTCTCTCGCTGTATCTATCTCTGTCAAATGAATAAATAAAATCTTAAAAAAAAAAAGAAATTAACTTATAACTGTACACCTGATCAACTTAAAGAATCAGAAAGAGAGAAACTGCTACTTTTCCCATTTTTTTAATTGATTGGGGTGAAAAAAAAAGAAACCAGATAGTGAGTTCTCAACAAATTATTGAATATATAACATTTTAGGAAGGACTTTAAAGCCAAGAGCTAGAGTGAAAACCCATTTCACATATTAGTATTTTTAAAATGCATCTATTAACATACATATTTATATATCGGTATATATATACATTTGTTAATATTATAGTGTAGATCTGTTCTTTCATGTATATTATAAAATAACAGTTGAAATGAGGCTTATCAGGAATTCATAAACAATGCCATGTATTAAGTTGTTATTCTTAACTACCTATGTACTAAATTTTATGACTGTTTGTATTTTATGTAAGATCCAGGACTTTATTCCGAATGCTTGACTAGATCCCTAACAATCGGTGATTTAGGGATACGTATTTCCTAAATTCAGTTACAATGTTGTGTATACATATAGAGTAGCTTTTCTTTTAAAAATTTTAAATTATGCTTTATCTCCCTGAGTAGAAATGAAAGGGAGCAGGTTCTTATTCAAAAGTTAAAGAATTTGTATGTAATTGTATTTTCCCATCTGTGATATAGTCTGTCTTTGTAGGTATTGCTCCATCTCTGGAAGTCTTTGAGATAGATGGCTGCCTTTAAGGAGTCCTAAAGAATGTATAGTATATATCAACTGAGAGGATATGGAAGATCTTAAAGCATACAACTTTTAAACATGTACTCTTTAATAGTCTTTGTTCCAGAAATGGAAGGATTGCCATTTTGAGCTAGCATAAATAACTTTTTCCATTCTGATTTGGGAAGCTTAAACATATTTGAGATTAAGAATTTAGAGCTGTTTTCTAAATTATCTAGATCAGGTTTGCCATTTTACAACCTTTTATCTTCAGCTACAAATTTGTTCATTCATTAAACAAATTAAGCTCTATTATATGCAAACCCCACGATGAATAAGACACAATCTTTGTGCTAAAAGATTTCAGTCTAGTAGGAGCGATAAGACCAGATCGGAACAACTATAATATAGAATATCATGTAATATATTAGCATGTGAGTAGTATAATTGAAATGATAAAGTTAGTTATTAGAAGAAGGAGATCTTTTTTAGCTGTGAGGATCAGGGAGAACTTCTCTGAATAGATGACAGTTAAATTGTGTCTTAAAGAAAGGGTGATTCTACAAAGAGGCATTACTGATTAATTCATTTGGATATTAAGAAAGGTCTGTAGATAACAATGGAAAGTTTAATATTATAGTGTAGTAAAAATGCAAGTTATAAAAATAATGGTAATGGAGGATGGAAAGGAAGAATTTTATCTTCATGTGGAAAGCACCCAGAGAGAAGAATTCAACATGGCTGTGATTTGGAAAAGGTGGTAGGAGGAGATGACATGGATTTTAAGTGGTTTGATGCAAATAGACTGGTAGCTTATCTTGGAAGTAAGCTATGGAATCAAAGAAAGATCAACTTGTGTTTCACTTTAATTTCATAAGACTTGAGGAATACAAATCATGAGGAATGTGAGATTTTATAAGAAGTGAATTGTGATGAGTGCTGGGTGATTAAAATAAAAACTTGAAAAAATTAGTACTCAGAAAAAAGAGAAGTGAAGAAAAGGGATTCATTCTTTTTAAAGAGGATGAAAAACTTCAAATAAAGGGAGAAAGTAAGTAGTAGGAGAGTATATGAAAATAGATTTGGAGTAAATGAAGGAGTTTTCACACCAAGAAACTGGTCATTTCACAGAGTTACGATGTGGACAGTAGGAGAGGCAACTTGTTAAAGGAGACTGAATGAGGGGGGATATTTGAAAGTTTAAAGAACAAGTTAACCCTGTAGAATGGAGGTCTTTGAAATACACAAGAGAACTGGACACAAGTGAAAGTTGAATACCATTACTATTTTGAAAATACAGGTTCTGTATTTTCTGAAAGCTTGAGTTATATACCACTTCACTTTTAGGAAAGCCTCCATTAGTACCTGTTTTCACTAACTGAAAGAAATCTGAAGGGGATTTTTACTTTTACAAAAAAATGCTGTTACCATACTAATGTTGGTCTTTTATAAAAGCAGAGTGGCGTAATGCAAACTTTCAGAAAGCAGGGGATACGTGTACCTAGTGAAAATAACTAGATGACACATCATTGCTTGTGTCTAAATTGACTTCATAGAAATCTTTCCATGGTGCCTTAAAGTACCTCATGCAGATGTTTACTTCAGTCATAGGTAGTTACAGCATATCATTTTGTTTCTTCTTTACCTGGAATTCTTTCTGGGGTTTTATAAAATAATAGTCATTGTTTATTGAATGCTTTTACAGTTTCAAATATTTTTACATTGAAGAATTTTTTATTTTATTTATTATACACACACACATATGCACACATTTCATATATATTTCATTTAAATTTAATTTCAGTGTGTGGAGAAAAATTTTTAAGAGTCTTGTGATGAGGGTTTTATTGTTCTCATTTTACTAGATGATGAAACCAGGGTCCAGCTATATTAAATGACTTGCCCAAGCATAACCTTATTTTTTAAGTCTTATGTTTTTCTTTGATTTGAAAAAGCTTCTCTCTGGTAAAGCAGCTGACAAAAGAGGTTTTGTTATTATTTTTTTTTACTCATCGTGGATACTTACAAACTTGCCAAGTATCTAAAAATATAGTCTATGAGAGGGTAAGTGAATTGCTGCTATTTTGCAGACTTTCTGAAGTTCCTTCTGTCTCAATGCAGCCCTTGATAATATCATACTGCAAAGCTGTGAATAATTCACAAACTGGATATTTCCTATTGGAATAATTGAGTGTTATGTCCTCTTTATGATTTAGTGTCTACTCTAGGTGAATTTGATTTAAGATAAATTGATTTAAATTCCAATTTAAATCAGTAGTCAAGAAAATACCATTTAATCATTTTCCCCAAAAGCACATTTTTTATTTAACCTTAATAAATATTCTCTTAAACTTGGTTTTCACTTTCTTAGAAGGATATTCTATATATTGCAATGCAGTGCTTTATTTAAATTTTTTCAGATTAATTTTGAAGTTGTATCAGAAACTGAATGATTTGGTTGTTTTATTTACATAAAGCAAATGAAATTCATACTGCTGAAGTTATCTCTTGCTCAGCTAATTATTGGTGGATATTTAAGAGCATTTGGCCTATACTACCTGTATTTTACTGAGCAGTTTGTTTTATTTGACTTTAAAGTGTATTTATTTGTGCCTTTTTCTTTCAGATACACAATTTTTTAATAAAATGAGAATGCATATTTTTCAAAGAAATACTTCAAATATAAACAAGTGAAAGTTTTGGAAAGAATCTAGCTGGTATCTAGATCAGAATCTAGATGAGTATGAGAAATTTTAAATCTTTTTTTTTTTTTTTAAGATTTTATTTATTTATTTGAGAGAGAGAGAATGAGAGACAGAGAGCATGAGAGGGAAGAGGGCAGAGGGAGAAGCAGACCCCCTGCTGAGCAGGGAGCCCGATGTGGGACTCGATCCCGGGACTCCAGGATCATGACCTGAGCCGAAGGCAGTCGCTTAACCAACTGAGCCACCCAGGCGCCCGAGTATGAGAAATTTTAAATATTGGATTAGGCAGCTGACTATTTTCTTTCTCTAAGAATCTTTTTGATTAGGATTTCCAACCAGTAGATCAGGAATATACTGTAGAGCTTCAGATTGAAGGTTGTCCCTACTATCGCTTCTCTGCCCCTTTCCAGAATTCCTGAAAGGGAACATGGAGTCCACCAACAGAATGTATTGCCACTCCTCACCAAGGGGCTAAAATATCTGCTCTAATTCAAATCACAGCTGATTCTTTTTGGATAGGATCTTTTCTTTTGTTGCTTCAAATAATCTTTAAAGAAACTTGAGCTCCTGTAAGAAGTTTGTGGTTCATTTACAACATGATTTGCGAAGATTTCATGATCCCTTTGTCTCAGATCAAGGGTCAGCAAACTTTTTCTGGAAAAGACTAGATGGTAAGCATTTTACACTTTGTGGCCAAGAGGCAAAATTGAGGTTATAATACACATACTTACAGCTAAGATAAAACAAAAAGATCACAAATTTTTACTAACAAAATTCAATATAGAATAATAGTAATTGAATATAGTTTTTAAAATATAGGTCTAATGAGAAGAATAGAATTTTTGGTGGGGAGGATATAATACTTTGCTTAATTCATGTTCAAAGTTAGTATTCTCTGTCACCAAGTAATGATTGCAAGTGTTCATCTGTGAAAACCATTCTTAGCTCATAGGTTGTGTAAAAACAGATGGGAGACCAGATTTAGCCATAGTTTGCTGACCCTATATGAAATTATAAATTAACTGCTCTTCTGTGTTACTTTTGAGCTTGATGAAAAATCAGTGCTTTACTTACGTAATCCTTTTGAACATAAAGTATTCAAAGAGAAATTGGTTGGTTTTAGGGTTTAAGTTTTACTTAAGTATTTGTCCTGATGGAGAAATAGAAGTCTTGCCTTTCATTGTTATTCTAGTGAATGTCTAGTCTTTTGAGAATTTGCTGTTGTCTAGTGGAGGAAAAATTAGGTCTATAATAATGTAGTCTCAAGGACAAAATATAACATAGTTTTAAATATTCTATATATTACATATAATAGGAAATGAATAAGTTGCCTTTTTTATATTAAAATTATATATTCACCTCATCTCGCTTAAATTTTTTTTGGTTTAATAGGAAAAAGAAGGCAAATTAAATTTCTTAAAATGGTTGATATTTTAGCAGTTGTAAGAATGATGATGATTTCTGTTCCTTTAACAAAGGTTTTAAAATTACTGGACATAATATTTATGTAGTTATAGAGTTAACCTGCAAGCCCACAATCTACTCACAACTGATTTTTGTTGTTATTGTTGCTATTTATTTTTCTAGGGTTTCTGTCTGTGTAAGGTATATTCATTCCTCAGTAATGAAACTTAGTAGATACCATATGGCAGCCTTGTTCCTAATATGAATTATACACAGCATGCGATTAACCATCCTCTGGTATGAGACTTATATCTCCTGTGGTATTCACTAAAGCGTCTGTCTGATGGTGTGATGTTTTAGGACTTGAATATTTGGTGTTTCTTGGTTTGTTTTAATTTCGTATTTTCACACAAGCTTGGTCTGTTTACCTTTATTTTTGTGTCCTTTCTTTCTATGTTCTCCCCACCTCTCTGCTTCACCTTTCTTAGCAAAGATGAGGATTTCTACCTTCAACATACATTGTTGGTCTTGTCTTCTGTTTTTGTTAGGAGGGACAGCAGTGTGATAAAAGAGGAAATCAAAGCCTTTCTTGCCAATCGGAGGATTTCCCAAGCAGTTGTTGCACAGGTAACAGGTAAGAGCTGAAGAGCCCTTTATTCTGGAATCATGTCTAGTCTCTGCCTTCTGGTGCAGATGTTGGAATATTGCTTGCATTTCTGCATTGCAGTGCAGACCTGTCAACTTAGGCATAATAATGTATGCCTGTGATTTAAAACCCATTGTCTCTGATGTCATGGAACTTCTGATTTTTTTTTTTTTACTTGTGCTAGTAAATTTTATAGCATTTGTGATAAGCACAAAATTTCCCATTTTATGGCTAAAAAAGGGTTCTCTGGTTTTCTTGTCATTGTGACAGAGCTCATGACACATGCACATCCAATTGCTATTTACATTTCATATTTTTAAAAGCTTTACAGTCCTCCTGATTCCTGATTTTACCGATTAAAAAATGATTCATGAGAGTAAAGGAAGTTTTGTTTTTTTTTTAACCACCTTTCTATATGTGAAAGCTTTCCTCAAACCATTACTGAGAAGATAAGAGTTATCATTGTCTTCTCTTTGTTCTTTATATCCCATCCTATTACCCACCCCACCACAGCCCCATCTTGAGTATGTGATGTATATGTATCATTCTCTATTCAGATTGCATTTTTTATAGAGTTACTAAATTTTGGGGTAGCATGTCTTCTTTGTTGGTATGTAGTCTTCCTTTCTTGGGTATTAATGGTTTATAAGACCTTAATAAAATCAACTATACCCTAGTCATGAGAGGAACCAGAAACTCTTGTAACTACATTTTGTAGTTGATACATTGTTATATGTTGCACATTAATAGATATGAAAATTATATTTTTCCTCCTCCCACCCTTTTTTAACATGCCATTAGCAGCTGATGTGACTTTGGGCTTTTTAGCTTCTGGACCTCACTTTCTTACCTCTACAATGAAATAGTTGGATCTGATCATATAGTACCTTCCAATTTTAAGATATCATTTCTATTCTCTAGACATCGATATATATTAAAGCTAATTTACCTAAAAGGTTGTTATTGACCATCAATATGGTTAAAAATGAAACTTGAGACTTCAGAAGTCTTAAATTTCATCCCAAGAATCTAAGGTCAGCCAATCTTAATACATGTATGTGTGTATAATATATAACACTAGTAATATATTTTTATAAATGATGCCTCTGTTCATGGTAAAAGATTTTAATAAAAGGCATATCCTTCCATACAGAAATCTTAAACAGAGGGATGATGTGTGAATTTAATTTTTGTAATTTTCAAAAGAATATTTAAAATAAATTTTTACCTTTATCTTCAAGGATTAAGGAATATGCTAAGGGCACTATAGGGGCAAGTTAAGTGGGTTTTACCAAAACCCAGTGATGTGCACTATGAAAAGATGAAGTGTTGTCTTTTAGGGCTTTTACTTTGCCTCCAAGATTAGAAGCAATCTTCTATTTTGCCAGCCTACAAAAAAGAACAAAATTGTAGTGTTATAGAACAGTATTATAGAGTTGATTTTTTTTTCCAGGTGGAAATATTTCTGAGGATCTTGAATACTCTGAATCTTGAATCATCTTGGACTTTTAAAATAGTAGCTTTTGAAACCCATCTGACTTTGATGCAAATTATAATAAAATACCTCATTTCAGTTATGCATTTTAGAGTAGTGTTCTTTAAATATAGCAATCTTTCTTATACATCCTGAAAGAGTCTAGCATTGTACATGCTCTCTGAAGATTTCATATTTACCTAACTGCCTTGTAGCGCTGTCTTGTAGGGTAAAGGGAATTTTAGTGAGGCTAACACAAGCTATACACATGAAAATTTATCCAATATGACTTTGTCCAGTGACGTTCCCTCTCCAGAAATATTTATTTGCTCAACAAATGCTGCATGAGTTTCTGCCCTTAAGGAATCCCATTTTACTCTTATCTGCTTTAATTCAATTATTTACATAAGGCAGGGGAGTGAGATGATTTATAGCCACATTGCTTCATTGTCTCATTGATCAACTTAGTGAATTCATGTATTTCTCATGTATTATCATGTTACATTTTCACCCGGCCCATCCAGCCATCAAGCTAGACTCAGGGACAGGGCTTTTCATTCTAGAAAAGAGATCAAGCTACAGAATAGTGAGTTGGTGCGAACCAGTATAAAGCCTGGCTCTCATAATTGGCATACTTGGTATAGGAAGCCTATGTAAGGAAGCCTTCTAGGCATTTAGGACTCACTCACTATGGGTACCTGATCTCAGTACATAGGCATGTTTTTGCCTTTAAACAAATTAGTCAAGTGTATCTTAGAAGAATATCTACCTGATAAATCTGTCCCAGATATAAAGTTTAAGATGTGGCACTCCAGAATCTCTGTCCTATAATGGAGTCTTTTAAAAAGTTAAGTTCAACTCTAATATGTGAAATAATGAAATAAATCAACCTTGAGATAAAAAGAATAGGCATAACAGAAGAAAATGCTAAATAAAGTGTAGTGAGGTGCAAAATTATAACACATGTGCTTGTTCCAGAAACAAATACAGAGACTTCTTTTTATAAATTTGGAGGATTTCTATAATAAGATAAACAAGAAGTTCATGGGTGGGGTCTGTATAAATAATATCCTACTGATAGGAAAAATGACAGTATAAACAGGATATAATAACAGTGCCTGCTGAATTTCCCAGCATGTTATTTGTAGCAGCTTTCACAGAGTCACAGCTGCTCCCACCAAGGGTGGATTTTTACCTCTGTTAGAGGTAGAGCAGGATTCTAAATTCTGACTAACAATAGTGGGATGGGGAGCATAGCCCTTGCTTTAGTAATAACCCACACATGGGTTTTATATTCACTTTCATGGTAAAACATTTTCTTTGGCTCTTAGAATTACGAAAACATGATTTTCTTTTTAAATGACCTCTGGGAAAAATCAAGCAGGCAGAATAAATGAGTAAGTGGGCAGAGCTTGAGTGAGTGCTTATCAGCCAAAAAATACACTAATTGGATTCATATCCTCTTAAAATGGAAGAAGGAAAAAAAAATTACTTCTCTGAACTTTAAGAAATCTAACACAATTTTGTTTTCTTGAATGATATTATAATGAAAAAGGAGCCATGAAACTTTAGAATACCAAAGTTCTAGTCCTTCTGTCTTAAATAGTCTTGGGGTCCTGGGAAGAATTATGTAGCTTCTCTGAGTCTCATTTTCCTTATTTATAAGATGAGGGGCTTTGACCAAATACTTCTAAGAATGTTTTCGAGTTATCAAATTCTATTCTGTTTTTTGTTTTTTAAAGATTTATTTATTTGAAAGAGAGAGAGCATGTGAGTGGGGGAAGGGGCAGAGGGAGAGAATATCCAAGCAGACTCCCACTGAGTGCAGAACCCAGCACAGGGCTGGATCCCCTGACCCATAAGATCAGGACCTGAGCCAAAACCAGGAGTTGGACACTCAACCAACTGAACCACCCAGGCGCCCCAAATTCTATTCTGTTTTTAAACAACGTTCATTTAACCAGTGTGCATCTACCATCTCATTCCCAAAATGTAAGAATTTGTGTAAAGAGAAGCTCTGAACCAGTTTTAGAAATGTTCCAACTCTACTTATTTCACTTCCCTTTTTTTAAATTTATCTTTAAAATGAAGAATGAAAACACTGCATATTCAATTTAATTATAATAATTTCTTTACAAAGATAGGTATATATTGATCTTCTCCCCAAGCAGAGAACGTCAAACCAGATATTAAAAACCAACTAAAGTGTCAATTATATCTTTTTTAAAAATAGACTTCATTTTTTAGAGCAGTTTTAGGTTCACAGCAAAAGTGAGTGGAAAGTAGAGAGTTCCTGTTTACTCCCTACCCACTACACATGTACAGCCTCCCTACTATCAGCATCTAGCACCAGAGTGCTACATTTGTTACAATGTGTAAACCTATATTGACACCATTATTGTCACCAAAAGTCCATAGTTTACATTGTTTTTGTAAATGGTTTTGTACATTCTGTGAGGTTTTAAAAAATGTATAATGACAAGTATCCACCATTATAGTATCATAATATGATGCTACAGTTTCACTTCCTAAAAATCCTCTGTGTTCTGCCTTCCTTCCTTGCTGCTAACCCTTGGCAACCACTGTCTTTTTACTGTCTCCATAGTTTTGCCTTTTCCAGAATGTTACCCTAGAATATGTAGCTTTTTCATGTTGCCATCTTCCTCTAAGTAATATGGTTTTAAGATTCCTTAAATGTCTTTTCATGACTTGATAGCTCATTTCTTTTTGGTACTAAATAATATTCCATTGTCTGGACATAACATAGTTTATTCTGCCATTCACTACTGAGGGACATCTTGGTTGCCTCTCAAGTTTTGGCCATTATGAATAAAGTTACTATAATGTTGGTAGGGCATATATCACAGACTGTAGTATTGTCCTCTTGTCATACAACCAAATATAATTACTTGTCAGGCTCATTTAACAAGATTTTATCAATTCCTGTGTAATGAATTTCACTAGTTTTAGATAGATCTCCAGTTTGAAGGCAATTATCTGTCTACAAAAGGTAAATTTCTATATTTGAGATTTAACTTCTGTCTCCAAATTAAAAAAGTTTAGAGTTTTTGTTTTTTTTTAGGAGAAAACTTCTTTTCAGATCTTTGAATGGACTTCAGTTACCAACAATATAAATATTTTTGCAGAGTGCCTTTAGGATTTTCTCTTGTTTTGTAGCCTCTAGAGAATAAGAACAGATGTTGTCCTGTGGTTCAAAAAATTGTTACTTTTTTATCTCATTTTCTTCTATCTTCTGCAACTTGCTGGCAAACTATTTTCTTGTAAACACAACACATAAGTTTACGTTTTTCTTTTCCTAGGGAAAAAGTCCAGCCTCTATATCTGAATACCCACATTTTCTTACTTTGGTGATAGCTAAGTGAAAAGTTGGGGTGAAAATAATTTCAGAGAATACTTCAGTTGTTAGAAAATCAGTTTGCTACAGTTCTTGAAATTCTTGAAATTCATTGTTCTACCAGGGCTTTCATCATCTCAAATACAGTGTATAGGACTG